GCCTGGGGCCCTAGAGACTCCCCCAGAACTGGAGCTCAGAATCTGAGACTCCCTCTCGATTGAAAACAACAACCGCGCCCTCAGCTACCAGCCCGCTCCGCGTGTACCTCCGCACCTTTGTATTTCCCACACTGCGCCTCCTCTGAGTCTCGTATGCTGTTCTCTTTCCTTCTAGTTGAAGAATTTCCCCTCAGCCAGTCTTCCTGTGGTTCTGGGCGATGTCCATTCCATCTTTTAGTTGTATTTTTGAAGTAGTTGTTCAAGGCAGCTAACTCTGGTGTTTACCTATGCCGCCATCTTGGTTTCTCCTGGGAATCTTTTTCTAATTCGACTTCTTGAGGCGTCCTTGTATGATTTGCAGGGTACATTACAACACTTTTCCAATCAACTTAGGTAGAAATCTTTGGGACTCTCAAATCTTTAATGGGATGGGTCTTCTATGGACTTGTGTTTATATAATTTCCCAATTAAAGAAGTTTGCTAGTTTTCTTCAGGAGCTTGTAGTCTCATGCTCCCTCGATTGTCTATTTTCGAGGGACAATACTGCAACAAACACTGAGCTCTTTGCTCTCTGCAGTCCCCAAGGAACCAAGTTCCATCAGTACCCAGATTCAGGTGAGACAGAAACTAATCTCTTGGGGAAACCCCTGAAAAGCAGGAATATTGGGTATACATTCTACTTCTCTTTTTCCTTTTGATGAGAGAAGGTGCAAGCTGGGATTTCCTCCTGAACACAAGCTGTGCCAATTTTGTGGAGAAGCTGACATAGTTGAAATAAAATTAAATGTCTTTTTTAACCCATTTCAATGTGGCTGAACTTGGCTTTGAGTTTGCCTGGGCACTACAACTTTTTACTGCTTTCTCAAGTTTTCATAAAAACTTTTGGACCACAAATTGTTGTTATGTCAGTGTCTCCATGGGGAAACAAGGTCTAGGACTATCCTAATATCTTTCACTCTCCATAATTATTTTATAGAGTATTTTTTCAATTCCTTTTCTCTCAACCTGCCCATACTGTTATATTTGAAGTGAATGTATTGTAAATAGCATGAAGTTGGGTCATAATTTTTAATCCTCTCTGCCAATCTGTGAATTTGAATTGGTATATTTAGAGCATTTAAACTTAAACTTAATCATGGGTAAGTTAGGACTTCAGTCTGTCTTTTTTTTTTCCTTTCATGTTTTTTTCCTGCCTGCCTATGGGATAACTGAATTATTTGAATCATCCATTTTGGTGTGTCAGTGTTTTTCAGTGTTTCTGTTTGCATTGGTTTTTAATGGTTGCTTAAAGTATAACAACTTACCCCAATCAACTGGTGTCATATTACCATTTTGAGGGGAGTATAAAACCCCCACCTTCCTTTACATTACTTTATCATCTCCTATTTATAATTGTCTTAAAGATTTCCCCTTTACATATGTAGAATTACATCAGACCATCACACAATGTAACTATAATATTTATTCAACCATGAAATATAATTTTTAAAAGTCAAGAGAAAAAAAGGCTATTGTATTTACCCATATTTTTGCTTACTGTGTTTTTCCTTCCTTCTTGATATTCCAGGGTTCCTTCTTTTATCATTTGCTTTCTGCTTAGAGAACTTCCTCTAGCTACTTTTTTAGGGTAGGTCTGATGCTGACAAACTGTTTCCTTCTGAGAAACTGTTGATATTTCCTTCCTTCCTGAATGATAATTTGTTGGGTATAGCATTTTGGGTTGCCACTTTTTTTCTAGCAGCATTTGAAATTTGGTTTTCCTTCTGGCCTCTACAGTTTCTGATGAGAAATTCATCATCATTCATAGGGTGACTACAGAATTTTGCCCTATAGTCATTTCTCTTGCTGTTTTCATATTTTTTTTCTTAGTGTAATGTTCAGAGGTTTGACTATGATGTGACTTGTGGGTTTCTTGTGGTTCATTCAGTTTCTGGAATCTATAGGTTCATGTCTTCTGCCAAATTTGGAAAGATTTTAGTAATCATTTCCTTATATACATTTTTAGTCCTGTTCTCTCCTTATTCACTGGATTTCCACTGACACAAAAGTAGAGGACATGTGGCTCATTATTGGTTGGCAGTGGTGAAAATTTTGGCCTCCCACATAACTCCTGTAACCCCACAGATGATGGGTTTCATCACCAGCAAGCAGAGTTAAAAGTCCCAGATTCCTACTCAGCCTTAGTTCAGTGTCAGAAAATGATACTCCTCTCAGGAGGAAGCTGAAGCACCTTTTTACAACCTAATGAGGTTGAAAATCTAGGCTCCCCAGTCTGCCTTTGCTTGAGTGAGTTAGGGTGACAATTAGCTGGAGTAGAGAGATTATTTTCTAAAAGTTTTCTGTATCAATAGGCTACCCCTTTGCTCATCCTTTGGCTAGAGAGAACTAGCTTTTGTTGGTGTTTGGTTTGTTTGTTTGTGACCACTGGCAGATCTAGGTTGCCAGCTTCTTCAGCTCCAATTCTGGAATATATAAGGCAAAAAGAAAACCCAGGAAACTTACCACCATGTCATTCCTTAGAACTTGGGAGCCTTGCCAGTCTGACTCTCCATCTTTTTGAGTCATATTATGTTTGTTTCATATATAATATTCAGGGTTTTTAGTTGTATTCAGTGGGAAGAATAGAGAAAAGTACATCTACTCTACTATCCCATAAGCAGAACACCTTATTATCTTTTAAATCTCATCTTTATCTGTTGCTATGTCTGTTTTCATTCTGAATATTAGAGCATTTAGTAGGCTGCTACAGAAAATGGTAACATTTCTGGTGTTATAAATTTTGAAGCATACTTTATATAACTACCTGGTTGGACTGTAGAACAATGACTTGGCAAGAACTAAGAGATATTTTTAAGGGCCTTTCTAAAGCTAATAATCTGATTTCCATAGGAATTCTTCCTTGATTAGTCTCTCGTAATTTTTCTTTCTTCTACTTTTCCTACCCTTACAATCTACACTTAATTATTTTTGTGGTATGTCTACGTTTTCAGTGGTTTCATTCTATCTTCCACCAATGTTATAATATTTGGATAGTATTTTACTTTTACTTGAACAGTCAATCTGCCTAGAGCATAACTATGAGAAATTGTAAAAATTCAATGAAATATATTTGATAATAAATTGATAAATTTAAAATCACATCCCACTTACCCAGTAATAATAATTTCTGGATATGTCTGTGTCCCAAGGTTCCAAGCTCCTCCAGTGATTGGCCACTCCTAAACATATTATCCAGGAAAAATTTATGTTTACTTTTAAAATTTGAATAACTTATACATTTTAAGTGAAAATATTTTAAAATAAAATATTTCCTTATAAGTCAGTAGCTATAAAGTAATGAAGGATGGTGTATGTAGCTATCTTTTAATTGTTTCACTCAAATGTATAATTCCAAATCTATAATTCCATCACCTTTAAAAATATTGATTTTAACGAAGATTAAAAAGTCGAAGTATTTTCAATTATAAAAGTATAGTGTTGTTACATTTGCCATGTAATCTGTGTACTGCCAAACTATTTTGATGCCATTTAACACGGAATACAATGTAAATTGTGCCCTCCTTGAGTTGTCTACCCCAAAAAACCTGTACAAATAATAGAAGACATAATAGGTGGTCTACTACAATTGTAAGTATTTGAATCCTGTAGATGAAATTCCAGAAAGTTATTTAACCAATGACTTTAGATAATTATGTCTTGTTAATCACTGATTGATAAAAAATGATTAAGTAGGAAGAGCAGGCTTAAATTTCTTAAAACATAATCCTTCACCCAAAATAACTAAAAGTTACATCTTATAATCGAAATCTGTTCTTTAAATAAATACTTTATCTACACTAATAAAAGAGAAACATGGTAATTGGAGTACAACCACTACCCTTTCCATTGGCTAATCAACGAGATATGCAAATTAACTGTAAGCCAAGATGGCGGCCGGCAGCCAGGCAGCTTGAAACTAACATGAGGCTTGCTTGCATCAGTAATGGAGGAAACCAACGTATCCTGCCTGCAGCTTCAGGCCTCTGAGCCTGCAGTTTCAAACATTGTAACAAATCCCCCCGGACTTCAGCCAGCAGGATTGCAACATTATAAGCAAAGGCCAGAAACCTACTTTCAGCAGCGGAGGCTTAAGAGCGGGAGCCAAGCCTCAAGCTAAAGCTGGCCCAGAATTTAAAAAAAAAAAAAAAAAGGAAAAAAGGAGCGGTTGGGAGCTTCAGTCACCCCCAGCCTGAAAACAGCCCTCAGCCCCTCACCCAGGCGGGCCAGGCACCCCAGTGGGGACCCCCACCCTGATCCAGGACACCCTTCAGGGCAAACCAGCCAGCCCCCACCTGTGCACCAGGCCTCTATGCTATATAGTAAAAGGGTAATATGCCTCCCAGGACCGGGATCAGCAGAGCTGCGAGGTCTCCTGGCACTGGGAGCAGCGTGACAGGGGGCAGCACCCAAACCCCCTGATCGGCCCTGCAGCTCTGTGTGTGACAGGGTGCGGCACCCCAACCCCCCCACCCCCCCCACGGGCCCTGCTCTGTGTGTGACGTGGTAGAGCCATAACCTCCCCATCATCCATGCCCTGAGTGTGACAGTGGCGGCGCCCCAACCCCCTGATTGGCCCTGCTCTGTGCGTGATGGGGTGGCATCGCAACCTCCCAATCCGCCCTGCTCTGTGCATGACAAGGGGCAGTGCCCCAACTCCCCAATTGGCCCTGCTCTGAGCCCGACCAGGAGCTGCACCTAGGGATTGGGCCTGCCCTCTGCCACCCGGGAGCAGGCCTAAGCCAGCAGGTCGTTATCTCCCGAGGGGTCCCAGACTGTGAGAGGGCACAGGCCAGGCTGAGGGACCCCCCCTCTCCCCCGAGTGCACAAATTTTTGTGCACCGGGCCTCTAGTATATATATAATTAGATAAGTATATATATGTGTGTGTGTGTGTGTGTATACTTATATATAATAGATAAGTGTATATATGTATATATAAAATATGTTTATATTTCTGTAGGTTTAAAGCTATGTAGCATTTAGGAAATTTGAATTCCAGAGGTTATGTCTTTTATTGATTCCAGCTTGTAATCTCAAGAGAATTTTTCAAGTCTTTTTATGGAAATTCTGAAAATAATATAACAAAAAAAAATGTGATCACATGATATGAATTCAAGATAATTTATTTTTAGTTGTTACTTTTACCTTATTACTGTATCCTTGTTTTTTATGCTTGACTCCTATAGCGTAGAGTACTAGTATCAAATCTGGTGGGCAATCAGCAAAGTACGCTGTGCACGTAACTGGTGATTCGTGTATGTCCATGGGATACGGATTTTCAAAGATTGGAAAGCTAATAGGTAAACACAATATATTAAGTTAATTTTGCAATGATAAAAAGTAAAATAACTTTTATAAAACACTCTAAAATATTCTATATTTTAATTATGTATTTCACTTAATTATTTTTTAAGCATCATAAAAGAAGAATCATATGAATAAGAATTATTTTTAAGCACTTATCTATAAAATGAAATATAAATATTGGTAGAATTTTACTTGAATAATGAATTTTCTTGCCATAATTCAAAAATTCCACAGTACTATTACTTTTATCTAAATATTTATATAACATACTTAAAGTATTAAAATATATTCTTAGTAAGTTTGAAATGTTTTACAAGGGAGGTAATATATAAGTGAGTTTTTTGTTTTTGTATTTTTTGCAGGAGTAATTAAAAGATGTGCATGATTATAGCATGTTTAATATAATTTCCTATACAAACTAGAGAACATAGTGAGAATGCAGACTTATGGATTCAGCAAATTTGATATCCTCAAGCCTACTATAATTTTAAGAGGCATATAAGTACAGGACCAAATTAATAATTTTTATAGCCACAATATATTGTGCAGCTCTTATGTACCAGATGTACCAGGCACTGCAGTAGAAGGAACCAAATATTATTCTACATTACATTAGTTCCAGGTTTGTGTAATCATGTTACTTCTGACATAATGTGTGTTTGGGGGGCTATTAAAATAATTTCCCAGCCCTAGTTGGTTTTGCTCAATGGATAGAGAGCATCAGCCTGTGGAGTGAAGGGTCCCAGGTTCGATTCCAGTCAAGGGCACATGCCCAGACTGCGGGCTCAATCCCAGTAGCGGGTGTGCAGGAGGGAGCCAATCAATGATTCTCTCTCATCATTGATGTTTCTATCTCTCTCTTCCTTCCTCTCTGAAATCAATAAAAATATATTTAAAAAATAAAAATAATTTCCTCCCCTCACTGTTAGGAACTTAATTAATAACTTAGTCCAATCTTCAGAGAATATGGTGTGTGTGTGTGTGTGTGTGTGTGTGTGTGTGTGTGTGTACGTGCTACAGATAGTTTCCCAGATAGGAATAGCAGTATATGCAAAACCAGGTGGGGAGAAACAAGCTGTGTTTAAAAAATGGCAAGTAGGTTAAACTTCATGGATCAGAGATCCCCTCTTTCAGAGTAGAAATTATCAATATTTCTTAGATGGAAGAACTGGAAGTAAAATAAATGGATCACCTTAAAGATCAGATCTACAACTTGGCATCTGATAATAGCAAGTGGTTACAATGATAGACTCCTAACAAGGCAAACAATATTGTAAAAATGTTTTGGGGAAAATATTTTAGTATATTGGTAAAGAGCATAGAAAAAGATATTTAAGAAAGAAATAATAACTAAATGTGTATTATAGGAATTTAAATGTAAAAGTGTAAATTGGTTGCTGTAGAAATGTAAACAATCCAAGAAACCAAGAAAAGTAAAAAATGTGTAAGCCCTAATGTTTGCTTTTATGCAGAAGATTAAATATGGGGTTGGAAGGAAGGAAGGAAGGAAGGAAGGAAGGAGAGCCCAGAAGTTCCAATCAAGATGGCAGAGAAGATAGAGGCTGCACTCATTTCCTCCCATTACCACATCAAAATAATAACTAAATTATAGCACAACCAACCTGAATTACCATCTGAAGACTAGTTTGACAGAAGTCAAGAGGGTAACGTGGGGACAAGGACACATATGTAATTTCTTAATCAATAAAAAATATATTAAAATATAAGATATACAGAAGATGACATATAGAGACTGATAGAAGGGGAGGAGACACAAAATGAACCAGCCCTGCTCCTACATGTAGCAATTGAGGATCCAGAGGGATATCTCCCCTGAGGAGTGAGGAGTTTCAGCCCCACACCAGGCCACCCAGCCTGGAACACCAGTGCCAGGAAGAGGAGCTCACATAAAATCTGGCAGTGAAAATTAGCCAGGCTCCCACCCCCCATAAGTACCCATCAATAGATGAGTGGGTAACCCAAGTACCCATCCATAGGTGAGTGGGTAAATAAGTTGTGGTATATATACAATGAAATATTATTTGGCCGTAAAAAAAGAATGTGATAGGCTAGGTGGATCTAGAAGTTATTTATTATGCTAAGTGAAATTAGTCATACAGAGAAAGACAAATACCATATGACTGCTCTTATAAGTGGAATCTAAAGAAAAAAAAAAGAACAAACAAAACAGAAACAGATTCCTAGATACAGAGAACAAAAATTTTGGTTGACAGATGGAAAGGGGTTCAGGGGAAGGGTTAAAACAGTGAGAGGATTTAGTACAAACTGGTAGTATAAAATAGTGATAAGGGTGTAAAAATACAGTATAGGAAATATAGTTATTAATATTGTAATAACCATGTATGGTGCTAATGGGTACTGGAAATATCGAGGGGGATCATTTTGCATAGTATATGATTGTCTAATCACTATGCTGTACACTATAAAATAATACAAAATAATATTGAAAGTAAAGTGTAACTGAAAAATTAAACTTCTAAAAATACATTTAATTTTAAAAATAAAAAAACATAGTGTCGAATTAAAAAAAGAAAAAATGTTGTCTAGGATTCTAGTACAGACGGCGAAGTATATAAATACAGTATTCGCCTCTTCCCATGACCACATCAAAATTACAACTAAACAACAGAACAACCATCATGGAGACCCACCCAAAGTCGAGCTGAACAGAAGTCCTATAAATAGGGATATACAAAAGAAGCCACACTGAGTCTGGTATTAGGGAAGAAGAGGTGGAAAGGACTGGGCCCACACCGACGTGTGGCA